TTTATAGTCAATAAAACGGCAATTCATTCACTCTACAAAACCTCATTAAACTTTTTCCAAATAATAAAATTATAACTGAAGGCCATTTTCCAACAAAAAGAACAACCCGACATAAAAATAAAAAAGACTATCCTCTAACCAGAGGTGAATCCGGCCTCTTAATTAGACAATTTTTTTTAGATACATCGGAAAGAAAGAAAAGAAAAAACCAAACTTAGAATCCATAATTTTTTTTCACCGCTTTAATCATGCGTTCAGAGTCCACCTCCACAACAACCTTATTCAAATTAAGATATTTTATCAAGATAAGACCTTGACGTAGACTCACAGGAGTCACAGCTCCACCTTTTGATCCAAAAGGTGGAATCTCTCATCCCGACCCGACAGGATGGTGGAGAGGTTAGTCACGGTGACTCAGTCAGCAGAATAGAAGTAGGCTCATACATCCGTGCGCATCAGAGGCTCAGCCTTATTTCAGGTTCTGTGACCTCCACCCGGTCGCTGCGGGGATTCGAATCTTGATCCGTTAATCCAAATCTTTCACAATTCGACTGAGCTACTCGTGCGGGTACCCCACAGCTCCACCTTAAAACTATATGTTCAGCATGAACCCACATACCCATTCCCCATTATGGTGGCTATGAACCCAATCTGATGTGCTCATATTCCCATCTCTTCCGCTAACCAGGTTACCAAATGCCCTTTCCCAACAATCTGCCGCAGAATTACAGTCTCTCAACATATGAATTTCTGTCTCCTCCTCTTCATTGCAGATCGGACAAATACCATCCTCTGAGATATGTCGTTTGATTCTTTCCAAGTTTGTGAGAACATTATTCTTCACCACCAACCAAATGAAACATCGGATTCTCTTAATTAGACAATGTGTAAAGTAACTTCTTATTATAAGGATGGTTAGCCAGTCAAAGCTAGGAACTTCAGACTTGTGAGCGTGAAAAAAAAGTTGAAAGTAGGGACTTGTGAACACTCGTTTAGCCATTTTTTGAAAATCAAATAACTATTTAATTTATTAAATGATACTCCGTATAGTCTAGGACTACGATGGGTGATATAGGATGTTTTTTTACTTGAACTAGTTTGTGTCTCCAGACTAGATCAGATCAGACTTAAACTGACAAAATCAAAGAAGACTTAAACAAACCATAACACAACAGACAAGACCTAAACAAATCAGACCAAACCAAATTTCAACAGACCAAAACATACCAGAGCAAACATAAACATACCAGACTAGACAGTTGTAAAATACATATAGACCGAGTATCTACCACACTTGTTCAGACTAAATCAGATCAGATTTAAACAAATCAGGCTAAAACATATCAGAAAATTTCAATCAAAGTAAAAACTTTCGTAAATTGAAAAAGATCTTACGAATCTTTCCAGATCGATAGCCCCACAGTAATATTGTCTAGTCTAACACCCTTGCTACACTTCTACCTCAAAGGACAAATAAAAAATTATACGGAGTATGTAAAAGATCCAACTTCACCGGCCACTGAAAAGAGAGGATCGATTTCACCAACAACCAACAAAAGAAACTCTACCGTACAGAAAATGTTTAAATCAATGGTTTGATGCAATGCCTATATCATACATCCGAGTGTATTTACACCCGGCCCAACTAAGAAAGACAACCCAATAACTAATACATGCCAAACAAATTCGGTGACATTTTTTTAATTTAAGCGAAAAATCACGATTTCCGTTAAATGAGCAATGATGTGCTTTTAGTGAGTATCTGACATATATTGTTGAGTATTAGGAGGCTAACAATGAGTATTACGGTCTCTGCTTCATATCTTCTAATTTTTTTTCATATTTTTTCTTTTATAAAAACTTATTAAAATATATCTATAATCCACTCTTATTAATTTTAGTATGTGAGTCTGATGTATATGATACTTTTGAAATATTCATTGATATGACATTTTAAAAGTGAGCATAACATCATTACTAAATGAGCATAAATAACTTACAAAGTACACATTGATATGAAAATTGTAATGTTTGTTAGTTGAACATCACGATATTTTATTTGGACCTCAAATCTCCGCTATTGAGAAGAAAATCACGGTTTCTGGTGAATGAGCATTAATAAACTTTTAATTAGCATCAGACCTATTATATTGAGTATTAGAAGTCTAATATTCAGAATTGTGATCTCTGCTTCATAACTTCTAATTCACTTTCTTTTTGTTATTTTTTCTTTTATAAAAGCTTATTAAATTATATTTATAATCAACTCCTATGAAATTTTCATTAAGCATCAAACCTCCTCTATTGAGATCGATGAAAACCACGATTTCTGTTAAATGAGCATTAATGAATTTTTAATGAGAATCAAACATATACAAATGAGCATATGTAACTTACAAGATGAGCATTGATATGAAAATTGTAAGTTTTGTTCATTAGGCATCAAGACATTTTCACTGAGCATCAAAACTCTGTTATTGAGCATTAGAATTGTGTGATTGAGTATCATGATTTGTGGTCTCGTGTCTATAATCAACTTCTATGTGAATCTAATGTAATATGAGACTTTTGAAATATGCATTGATATAACATTTTAAAATGAGAATAACAGAGGTACTAAATGGACATACATAACTTACAAAATGAGTTTTCAAAAATTCAAAAGCTCATTTGTGTATGTTCATTCAATTTAGGCGTTTTACTCATTTGAGTTTAAAATAAGACTCATTTCTAATGTGCTCAGTATTAATATATAAAGCTGAACAATCAATTAATTGAATCATTAAAGTTGTGAGTTAAAAGGGAAATGAAGAAAGATGCAGGATCTGAAAAACGCAACAATTGCGGATGATATTTTTAGCAACAAAAGAAGAAACATTTTTGGAGTTCAGGTGTGTGGCGTAACAGAGGAAATCGAGTTATCCAGAGCTCCGATGTGTGGCGTAATAGAGGAGTCGAGTTATCCAGAGCTGCTGCAGAGCCCGCTGGTGAGCGAGGAAGATGATCGACGCGATTCTATGCGGATGACTGAGTGAGGAAGACGATCTGCGTGATTTTATGCGGATGACTAGGTGAGGAAGATGATCAGCCATTCAGGGGTTAGAGATGAGAGAATCATTAAATGAAAGACTTAAAGTTAATAAATATTACAAAAAAAATCAGGTGTACATTTACACCCGGGTGTACGATATAAATTGTATGGTTTGACGAGCCATCAAAAAGGAAATTCAATTGATTCAATTGTTCCGAGTAGGGGGCTACATCAAGGAGATCATATATCTCCCTACCTATTTATTCTAGTTGCGGAGGGCCTAAGTGCTCTAATCAGACAAGCTGAGAAACGAGGAGATATTCACAGGGTGACAGTTTGTAGAGGAGCCCCACGGGTATCCCACCTTTTCTTCGCAGATATAGTTTTCTTTTCTTTAAAGCTAATACGAATGAATGTACTGCGGTGAAGGAAATCTTGAAGGAGTATGAGGATAACTCTGGACAGGCGGTTAACTTCATCAAGTCCACTATGTCATTTAGCCCCAACATCAAGGAGGATTTTAAAAGTTATTGTTGTAATTTCTTTGGAGTTTCGCAGGATGGAAACAACCAACGCTATTGACTGATTAGTGAGGAAGAAAATTAAATTCATGATTGATGAAAACATAAGCACACAACTCTTATAAGCAAAGAAATTATAGATAATGCTCAGAAAGAATTATAGAGAACAATCTGAAAGCAACAATCAAAATCACTTTTAAATGATTAGAATAAAAGAAGATTGAAAGAAAATAAGAAAGAAAGTGTGGCTACCATTTTCACTATTTTGACTATTTTCTCGTTTAGCCATTTCTAATGCACGTAAATATAAAGTGCAATATCACATTTACCACATCTATCTCTCAAAAGTGAAAAATAACATTGTCACACTTATTTCTCAAAAATAAAATAGGTGAAAGCGTTTGAGAGGCTGAATTAATGCAGCAAAGACTCGACCTCTTAACAACAAAATGTACTTCCCTTCCTATCTCAAAGTTCTTTACACTTTTTCAATGTACATAAAATTTCCTTTAAAAGTGTTACATTTTCTTTTTAGGATAAATTATTCCTTAAAAATTCTTAACTACCCTTCTTTTTCTTTTTTCATAATTGTATAGCATCACTCGGTACTTTTTCTACACTTTCATCAACAAACCAGTTGCCTTCCTTAAATATGCCAAAGAACAAAAAGGTATTTATACACATAACTTGTATGCATTTCATGTATACACTTTCTAATCGCCCGTGTACACAGAAAGCTACATAGACAATGTTTACAAGTATCACATGTGGGCGTAGCTCAACTGGTAGTAAGGGAATGCCACAAGCATTAGGTCTCGAGTTCGAATCCCGTCAACTGCGATTAGGGGTTATTATGCTAAAAATGCATAGGGCCTCTGCAAGTAACAGGGACAGAACTCCGCTCTCTATCTGTCAGATTGAGATTATAGTCCAATTTACCTCCTCCCAACGTACCATATGATCGGGGTTGAACTCTCAGGGATGGGGTGTCATCTTTATAAAAAGGGGAAAATAATTAAAATACCCCAAACTTTGAAGGGGTGTGAGATAAACACCCTGAACTTTCATATGTAATTTAAATACCCCGAACTTTATATAAAAAGTTATTTTCACACCATGGTTATGGGTAATTCCTTTCAAAAATGTAAATTTATGGTGTTAAATGCATAATTTAAAATAGAAAATTGAAAACATTATAATTATATATAGTGGTGGGTAATACTATTTATTTTACGATGGAAGCTTAGAATGTTAATTGTATCTTTAGGAATGCTAAATTTATCAAGCTTGAAAGAAATTATTCATGACCATGGTGCTAGAATAACTTTTTATATAAATTTTGGGGTATTTAAATTACATATGTAAATTTAGGGTGTTTATCTCACACCCCTTCAAAGTTTGGGATATTTTAATTATTTTTCCCTTATAAAAAGGTTGTTGTGTTGTGTCACTGTGCTATCAGGTCACCACTAGAAAAGCAATGGCTATGGAGGATCCAAGAGGCCGCTCGCCAATTCCACTCCTCTCCGATCCGTTCCACTGTTCTTCCGATTTCAATTCTCTCTTCACCAATCTTAACACGCTCCTCATCCCCGCCAATAATGCAGGCCTTCACTGCCGCAACACAAACGCCCATCTCAGCTTCTCCTCAACCTCCTTTGCCGTTCAATCCCAACTCAAAACCCCTGATATTCCAAACCCTAGCCCTCAGAATTGGCGTAAATCAGCACCCAAACACTCCCCTAGAGTCCAAGCTCTCCTGAAGAATCTATCTGTCCTCGAAAGAGCACTAATCGGCGCCGCAGCAGGCGGCATTGCCGGTGCCTTCACGTATGTCTGTCTTCACCCTCTCGACACCATCAAAACCAAGCTGCAGACGAAGGGAGCTTCGGAAATTTACAGTGGCACCATGGATGCCATTGTCAAAACCTTCGAGAACAGTGGAATTCTAGGGTTCTACCGAGGGGTTTCAGTTGTGGTGATCGGATCAACGTTTTCTTCTGCTGTCTACTTTGGGACTTGTGAATTCGGGAAGTCGGTTTTATCGAAATTCCCGCAGTACCCTCCGCTACTCATCCCACCAACTGCTGGTGCAATGGGTAATATAATCTCTTCTGCAATAATGGTGCCCAAAGAATTGATCACACAAAGGATGCAGGCTGGGGCAAAGGGCAGGTCTTGGGAAGTCTTACTAAGGATTCTGGAAAATGATGGTGTCATGGGATTGTATGCAGGTTATAGCGCCACATTGTTGAGGAATTTACCAGCTGGCGTGCTTAACTATTCTTCTTTCGAGTATTTGAAGGCCGCCTTGTTGAAGAAGACAAAAAGGACGAGATTGGAGCCATACCATAGTGTGTGCTGTGGGGCATTGGCTGGGGCAATATCTGCTTCATTGACAACTCCATTGGATGTGGTCAAGACTAGATTGATGACACAAGTTCCTGGGGATGCTGCTAATAAGGTTGCTGCTGCAATGGTTAGTGGGGTGTGGGCGACCTTGAGGCAGATTCTCAAGGAAGAAGGATGGGTGGGATTTACGCGTGGAATGGGGCCCAGAGTGCTTCATAGCTCTTGCTTCTCGGCTTTGGGGTACTTTGCATTTGAGACAGCTAGGCTTACTATTTTGGAGGAGTATCTGAAACATAAGGAGCTTCAAACTGAAGCCTTTCCTCCAACTCCTCTGAGTGTATGATTGTATGAATTTTGATTACCATTTCAGTGCACTATAACATGTTAGTAATTCCTTGATTCATGCCCATTTGAAATATTATTACTCATATTATGTTCAATAGAGCTTGTATCCAGCGTCTTAGTTTATAGGAGAGTGTATCATAATAAAATGCTTCAGAAGGTCATAGAGCTTCTTGTATTTCTTGATTTGGGGCACTTTATGCTTTGATTTATTTATATATTTTCATTCTGTTACCTTAATTTATAGTATCCCATCATTCCATCAACTCTTAGGAGGGCGATTGGTAGATTTAAGGTTAGGAAAATGAGAAATGAGTGATTGTAGAGGTTTTTTGTTGGATTTGATTGATTTCCAAAAATTGGATAATGTAGAGAGGAGAGCACTTCTCAGTTTTCACCCCCCAAGGACCAGTTTAACTTCCACTCTTCTTATCCTCAACCATGTTAAAAACACACTCTTAGAACTCTCCTGAGTTCTTCAACAACGGGAAGTGAAGAAGAATGTGTCTGCAATCCGAGCACAAGTTAGATCTTCTGTCTGCATGCCTGAGAGCAGCTCAAACAAAGAGCAGTTTGGTCTAGTCTAAATGTCGGGCCTGGCCCAGCCAGCCGCTACTACTAGGTCCCGGAATGATGCTGCTACGCCCCTTAATGCATTGAATGGTCCTTCGGCCTTCTTCGATGCCCCCGCTGGCATTACATCTCATGAGGTCCGCCCACTATTACTACAAAAAGAGCCCCACCCTATGAGTATGATTAAGTTTAAGCTTATTTTCAAAAAGAGCCCCACCCTATTACTAGTACTATTTGAAACAGGCATCCAGTGTCGTTCGACTTCTAAAATAGGAGCACTTGGTAATTGGATCTTATTGAGGATTGTAATAATGTGTTAAAGGACCGATAAATTACAGAATTGAATGATCCCCCTATATTGCTCATATTCGCCGGATAACCCAACTCCTCAAGATTATAATGAGAAGCACCTGTCGTGTAAGAAAAACAACAAACTAATCGACTCACGTTGAGAAATTCAATTGTAATATTTTTGAAAAACCCATAAAAAATTATGACTAAAATAAAACTTATTTATACAAATATGACTAATAGTTACTAGTGTTATAATAACTTAAGTTTAAAAATTGAACATAAGTTACTATGATTTCATTATTATTCTAGTCATATTTTTGTAAACTATCTTTATTTTAGTCATGAATATGTGATTATTTCTTTTGTTATAAAGCCCCTCTTTCATAGATGTCATGAAACTTCTTCACTGTCAAGAAATTTAACATTTTGTGTGTAATATTTTGTGTTATACACATCTACAAAGTGTCTTTGTTCAAGTGAAAAAAATAATAAATTCACTACTTCATCAAGAAGCTCTTGACTAAGTTATAAATTCAACCTTTAATTTATCTCACTGTGTATATTATAGATTCAACATACTAGTATAATTGATCCATAAGTATTGCCTGAATGTTATGAAGGGATTCGCTACATTCAACCTATAACAATATACATCATAGTGAACTAAAAATAACATGATATATATTTAGTTTTATTAAACTAATAAACTTTTGTGAAGAACATTTCACCAAATATTAGCAATGGAATTAATAAAAAACTAAATAAATCAAAACCCATGAAATGTTAGGTCCTAGATTGATAGTTTTTCATCTTTCGAGTCCTATACTGATACATTTCATCTTTCAGGTCCCGGAATGATAATTTGTCTATCTTTCACGTCATAGATTGATAAAATTCCTGAAAGATAGAAAACTATCAATTCGGGAGCTGAAATATGAAATGTATCGATATAAGATCCGAATGATGAAAAACTATCAATCTAGGTCCTAAATGATTGAAAAATAACAATTTAGGACCTAAGTTTTCATAAATTTTATTATTATTTTTATTTTAAAAAATTTAAATAATATTTAGTTTTATTAAACTAATAAACCTTTGAAGAACATTTCACCAAATATTAGCAATGAAATTAATAAAAAACTAAATAAATCAAAACCTATGAAATGTTAGGTCCTAGATTGATAGTTTTTCATCTTTCGAGTCCTATACCGATACATTTCATCTTTCATGTCTCGGATTGATAATTCGTCTATCTTTCAGGTTCCAGATTGATAAAATTTCTTATTTTTAAGATGAACTCCAAAATCTTATCAACGCTTGCAATTTTTAATCATGTTTGTTACCGTAAAGATAAAACAAGAGGTAGCATGAAGTTAACTCTGGTGAGAAAGTAACTTTTTTAATTCAACCACAAGTCAATAAGTGGTTCGGCTCATTTTCTGCCCATGATTCAAAGTAAGCATGACAAAAAACTCGACCTTTAAGGATCGCCCTACCCCAAAACATTTGGGGGGGTATGGCCCGCCCCATGGACACAATGAAGTAGATAGGATAATAGTATTGAGTATTGACACATCTACACGGCGCTTTGTCATGCCTAATTCGAAGTGGCACTGAACATACAAATGAAAGAAAAGAGGACTGTGTTTGAAGACAAAGATGAAACTGCATGGTTTTTTATCTATTTACAGGCGCACTGCACACACATGAAATTGTCAACTAATTATAGTCTTATCTAAATCCCCGTGCCTGCAACATAACTAGAGACCAGTTTTGAGTTTTGACTATCCTCAAACTTCCCTGTTTCTAGCTTGTAGGGCTGAACGGACCAAAAGTTTATCCCATGTTTCGCCCATAGATTTTCAAGGCCGGCAGGCTATAGCATCTCATTCTCGTAACCTTGAGACTTCTATGTCCCTGTTGTCATTACTACGGTCTACAAATCTGTGGTGATTAAGTTGAAAAAAAGGCCTGGTCTTGACCTTTGCTGATTCTTTTGTTTTTCCAGATCTACAGCCAAAAGCGTTCTCTAAGCTAGGAAACCACATCCCATATGGTTTAAAGACCTTACTCTAAGCATGCAGAACGTGTAGACAGACTTTCATATGGCCACCTTAGTTACCATATACACACATTTCATATCCGGTCTGAAACAAACTTATCCAAGAAAGCTTGAGCCAGATTACTGAAACTTGCACTAACTTCGCTGGCAGCAGCATACCTTCTGATCACATCTACTACTTCAGGCTTCAAGATTTCTTCCCTGTTTAATTCATTGCAAAGGTAATACAATGCACCAAGACCATAACATACCTGCCAATTCACTTATATTACATGTCCATAAAACCTAACAGCATGCACGAGAAGCTTCTAGAATACACAGTTATTATTCAATACTGGAAGCAACCTTTAATCACATGAAATATAAAATTGTATGTAGCTATGCTCTAAAAATTCCAGCTCAAGCGCTAGACTTCTCTTTGACCACAGTTCTTATCTGGGCAAAATGATCTAAAACACAATGAACTTTAGCCAATATTTCAAAGAGAATGTACTGTTAATCAGGAGTAGTATTTACTCATGTACATCAAGAGAGTAAAAATATTTGGTTGAAATTTATTTAGAAAGGAAAGAAAACTAACAACCTAAGTAGCACGAAAGCGTGAAACGGAAAGCTATCAACCTAAACGTTTTTCATGCACATATACATTTTCGAGATATTTACCTAGGATATGAGTAAAAGTACCCCTCTTTCTCTAAATATCAACTATGAACTTATTAGTTTTTTTCTTGTATTAATACTAATTTAGTATTACTTACAAAAGTTTAATAATTAATAAATATATAGTTTGTTTCCATGTCATTTCATCATTTGCAATGGAGCCAAAGATTCACTATTTTTTGGCTTGAGAATATGATGGAATAAAGCAAAATGGCTCACTAAACTGTCTGCGCTTCTTTAATGTGAAGCAACCGTCAGTCCATGTATTTTTCGATGCGATTTTCACTATGGTTCATTCGGAAACAGTCTCTTTGTAATTTAGTACAGGGGTAGGACTGCGTACATCCGACCCCCCTTAACCCACCGTAGGTGGGAGCCTTTGCGGCACTGGGGTAATGATGATATGATTATGATGATAGTTTGTTTCCATGGACCAATATGCCCTCTTACCAAATTAATATAATCAGAATGTTTATCATATACTTACTCAGCCGGCCGTATGTTCTCACCTTCATCAACAACTGGGTACTACAGAGCCGCAGCTTGTTCCTCTCTTCAGTTCACCGCCCCTTTTCTCATGCCTCCCTTATTGGTAAGACATTACCCTCATTTACCATCCATGATTGTCATCAGTTTTTTATGGATTCGTGAAATCAGGATTGGGTGAGGAAGGACATTGAGTGAATGACGGTGGGAAAATCAGTGACACCGTGGGAAGAGAAGTGACACCAAAGGGAAGAGCATGGCACGGTGGGAAGGGCAGAGATGCCAGTGGGCAGAGGAGTGATGCTGGTGGGAAGAACAGTGATGCCGAAGACAAAGACGATGAAGCTAGTGGGAAGAGAAGTGAAGCAAATGGGAAGAGTAGTGATGCCAAAGATGATGATGATGATGATGATGATGATGATGATGAGAAGGCAATGACACCGGCGGGAAGACTAGTGATACTGACGATAATGGAAGTGATAGTGCTTCCAGCAAATGCACCACATGTTTTCTGTTGTAGGTCATTGAAAACATGAAATTGTATTGTAGTCTCATTATTTATGTTTAACCACACTGTTTTTATAATATATTTTTTGAATTATTGCCTCAAATGGGACTAAATTGTTCCTAAAATTCCTAAATAGGACTGTAAATTTTTATTCCCCAAATAGGACAAGATTACCCATTTACCCTTATTTTTCTTCCTCCTTAATTTGATTTCCCTACGCCACACCATCGCATCCCCTCCCCTGCGTATTTCTTCTCCCTCCCCTGCAGATCTGAGCACTTCTTCACCCTCCCCTGCACACCTGCACATCTTCTCCTTCCACTTCACATAGGAACAACGAACCTAGAAGCCCAGTGATAGTCATCGCTGTCGCGAAGTCCATCGCCGTCGTCGTGAAGTCCACCGCCGCCGCTGTCGGAGATCGACTTTTCTTCTCTGTAGATCGGCATCACTTCTATGATTGTTCTGGTTCGTTTCTTCTTTGTTTGTTACTGAATGCCAAGTTAATGTCTGAAAATGCCATCAAAATGGCAACGACCAGCCGTGAACGGCCATCCGCGAACGGCGAGCTTGGAGGTGCATAGTCACGAACCTTTGCTCATCTTTCGTCTCCTCTTCTTGGTTCTTTCTTCTCTGGTGCAGGTGCTATTTGAAAGTATTGAGATGCTCTATTTCTTTTTGTTTATTCAAAATGCCAAGTTAGATCTGAAAATGTCATCAAAATGGCATTCGTACTCTTCCAAAATTTCGCATTTTCCATTCAAAATGCCATTAAGATGGCATTCCCAATCCGTGTTTGACATTCTAACTAAAATGTTGGCATTAGCGGCGGCGAGAGCTGGATCTGCACCGGCTGAGGCCGGATCTACAGCGGCGGAGGACGGATTTGCGGTGACAGCGGTCGGATCTACAGGGCTGGCTGCCGGCGAGTTGGTGACGGCCAGATCCATACCGGCGGTGGTCAGATCTGTAGCGGCTGTTTCCGGATCTACTACGACAATCAGTTTTGAGGCGGGGGCAGCGGCCGGGGGCTGCCGGCGGTGACAGGAGACCGGCAGCGGGGCGGCGACCGCGAGAGACGGTGGTCCTGTGTTCTGGTCCCAGCAGTATCACTTCCAAGCATCAAGGGCGTTTTTGTCCAATTACAGATTATTAGTCCTGTATAGGAAATTTTTAGACTTTAGTCCTATTTTGGCAATTAAAAGTGGATTTACTCCTATTTAGGTAAATACCTCTATATTTTTTTGGGAAAATCATTATGTTTTAGTCATAGTCTATTAAATTTTCATGCAAGTTCTTCCATTGCAGTCTACATGTTTAAATATCAAACTTATTACATGATATTACATAATTAAACATAAAATGCAATAAATTTCTAGCAATGCATTGAGTTATGAAATATCACAATGTTGCTAGAAAAAATCACATAAAAGTTCACTAAGTTGTTTAAAAAAGACACTATTTTCCAACAAAAAATACCATCGAAAAGAAAAAATGGAACCTAAAGTTTTTGAAACACTACTTTTTAGGGAAACAGGTTTCCCAATTCTTCTTAATTTTGGAAACGCTCCCAAAACAGGAATTTGAAGTTTCTGAATTTCCGACACGCACCTAAGTTTCCGAAATGGGGAAACATGAACCCCGGGGAGTTTCCGTGCTTCATAGTATCAACCACATAACTCTTTCCTTTAATAGGAAATGAGAGGATAACTTTGAGAGGAATGTGAAGCTAAATTTGGGATGGAGTATTCATTATTAGTTGATATGGTATTTCTATTGATAAATATTGTAGGCTTTTAGCTAATCTCACTAGGCTCTATACTTCAACACTAACGATCGTGATGTATGCTACTCATATTTATACTCTCTCATGAGAGTATGTCTTTGGAGAGAGCAAAGTGGAGGGCGCACATCCGTGTGAACGATTGATGTCTTTTCTACATTTCCTCTCTCTTTTCTTTTATCGTTTATCTTCTTTATCTTTTTATATTTTAATGTTATTTTTATCTTCTAGTTTTTTTATGCTCTTTTATCTTTCTATCTTTTCTTTCTTATATTCTTATGTTATTGTTATCTTATATTTATTTATCTTTATTTTATCCGTTTTATCTTACTTTTTCCCCCTCCTTGTCTGTCTCTCTGTTTGGCATCGATATCATAGATCGATTCATGTTAGCAGACCCCAAATTCTTTTGGGATTAAGGCTTGGATGTTGTTGTATTAATCAAATATTATAACCTTTGCTCTGCAAGACACGTGCTTTAGCTAGCTATTTTGGAATTATGTTATGTGAGTTGGTGTCCTCCTCCTCCATTAGATGAACAATAGTATTGTTTCATTTATAATTATTTTCTGAACAGAAACATTGGCAGAAACAATCTAACGGTAGCTCATTAATAATCTTTGTCCACACTTTAAGAGTCAAATTTTTGGTTAAATAATTGAGTGTGACCGTTTTTTATTAAAAATAGGTTTTTGATTTCTAAATGAAACTATTCTTTTGTTCATCTGATGGAAAATGATACCTCACTTAAGTCATGCCATGTCGGAATGCCAAATGAGCTTAAGCATGTTCTTTTTGAAGAATGGGCATAGATGAAACTCATGAAAGTAACGGATGGTAGTGATAAAATGCTCTTTCGGTCAATCTGATAAATGGGCAAGCGCCCTTTTTTATTTAAACTTCCAATCTTTCACTTTTGGTGTAGAGTATGGATTTCCAGTCACTTATCAGACGAAATCAGTAAAACTTGTTCTGAAATTGTTTGCATAAGTGATCCAAAAGAACAAAAGTGGATAAAAACCAAAAGTAAAATATCTCAATTCTTGGGTGGTCAAAGGTGGAAAATTTTCTGCTAGAATTTTATGTGGTATAGCAACACCCATTGTTTTAACAACAAAAACATGATCTTTTTACCGTGTTTCGAACAGGACTTGATAGGCATTGTATGACCAGCGGAATCCCACCACTTTGAGTGACAAGCGCAGCATTTGCTGGATCTGTGTAAAAAAACTGCAGCACATGAGATGTGCACACTCAATGAGTTACCTATTAGGATCTCAGTTTGGATGGAGAGTATTTGGAGGTTTTGGAGGACTACGTCTACATCTTGATATATGTTTGAGATATTACAAATACCGGAGGAATAACATCATAGGTGATCATATAATATTTCAATAACCTGCTAATAATGTTATAGAAATGTTGTAACCATAAATAAAATAGAGTTACATATTAACCCCACTGACTACTTCCCCTCCAAAACCTTCCATACAAATTCCAAGTAGACCCTAAGGCTTTGTTTGGATGGAGTAGATAGCCTTGGGGGGTTTCTCTATACCTTGGTTTTTATTTGACAAAAAAATCATGGAGTAGAAGATTAACATAATAGGTGATTCTATAACAATTCAATCACCTTTTATTCGTTCTAGACATTTTTTCTACTGAAGATATAGACTGAACCATTTAAAGCTTTCCCCTCCAAAACACTAAATTCAAAGGCCTCCTTAGCTGTACAGCAAGAGTAATATTCCAAAAATGAAGTAAACAAACATTTTAAAGACATTTTTAGCAAATTATATCATCATTATCATTACCCCAGTGCCGCAAAGGCGGGTAAGGGGGATCGGATGTACGCAGTCTTACCCCTGTACTAAAGCACAGAGAGACTGTTTCCGGATGACCCATAGTGAAAACCGCGTCAAAAATTGCACTTACAAATATCATTACATATAATTTTAGTAAATTATATGTAGTATAAAAAAAAACACTATGTATCTTTCCCTGATGCAAAAAGAACAAAAACGATAAAAGACTAACACGAATATCATTACCTGCAGAGCAATTACAGATTCCTCCAATACCAAATTCAACAAGCTTCGCGTTAGGTTCAGTTATACAATCCAGAAAAAGCTCTATAATATTAAGCTGTTTAAAAAATGACTGTTAGCAAAAAAAAATAACTAATTGATCACCAAAAGTAAACCATATAAGAATTCGAACCTGGCGCAAAAAAGTATAATTGAATGGATCATACGCAAAGTTTGCCAAATTAGCCACTACCTGCTCTTTTGTTTCTGTAATAATAATAATAGAGTAATAAATAAATAATAAATAAATAAATAAATAAATAAATAAATAAATAAATAAATAAATAACAAGATCATATCACAAGACTAAAAACTCAATCTTAAGACAGGTGAAACATATTAGTAATGTTAGGAACCACATTCATTAGTAATGCTCTCACACCAAACAAAGAAATTTCTTGAAGTGCAAATTGGAAATGCTGAATGATTTAGAAGAAGACAGTAACTGTGATAATGAAATCAAGAATTCATTTGCTATTAGGCCGCTTCACTGTAGCAATTCATCAAGCACTTAAAGAGCAGTTTTGTGCATAGGGGTAGGAAAAGTCTACCTATCAGTTAATAATTACTGTTCTAAAATTAAGAATTACTGTTTAAAACATATATAAAAAGAAAAAATTACCTATATATACTAAAACAATTATCGATTCCTAATATATAACTAATAAAGTTTAGCATGTAATGTATGAATAATAAAGCAGAACTCTTACCATACAAAAGACTTGACATGTGAGGTAGGAGTAGTTTTAGAAAAAGATGAAAAGGAGGAAAAAACAATAAAACGGTTATCATAATTCCTTGCATACATGGGAGACACCATCAAAATAGGGGAAAACCTCGGTAGTCATATTTAGCGAATGAGCATATATTTTATCATATTCATTGTGATTTTCTCAAAAATGGGAATTAATCTGCCAAAACACATTACCTTCATCAGATGCATTTTGGAACCGAGACACCAGCTCCTGGAGCAAGGTGGAAGAACATTATATTGGGGAAATATCAAATATGGAGGAGGGCTAGTAAATGATAATAAAAGATGTCAAATGAATTGAGAATCGGGGCCGACCTGAAGGTATTGCACCCTAGGAGTCCCATATTTGCCGGTACGCTCTTCCTGCCTTTTATCGTTTGTGAACATGTATAACCCGTGAATTGTATAGAGCAAAATCATATAGCTATCCACTTCAAGTTAGAGTAATTCTCTGGCTCCCTAATATATAAGAATGAAGATTTTTTTCAAAAAAAAAAACTAAAACCACAAGAATTATCAAATAAAGAATTGAGAGATTTACCAAAAAATTAAAGAATTGAAAGATAAAAATTGTTAATATAAGGTTCAAAAGATTGGTGACAAATCCAATGATTATAGAGACAGTCCAAGCATTTTTGCAACCCTATTGCATGTAATCTCTTAGTCTTACAAAAGTACATATTACAAACAACAACTTCTTGGCACGTGTGGCCTGGTCAATTGATCGATCACCTTGTATGCACATATTTTTGGACACTTGGCTACATATAGGTGTGATTATGGGGATGTTTAGAATTGATGATTGAGTGCAGTTTCCATAGCATAATCAGTATTAACTGTTTCACAGTGAATGTATACTACACATCGACCTTGAGATCTGTGTATGAGATTTACCTTATTTGGCTCGTTGGAAGAAGAAAGAAGGTGCAGCGATGAGGGATCAAGCTTCCATAAATATGAGGGCGAACTGGCGAATGGCCCTTACAAAGGTATAATTGATTTGATGATATGGAAGAATTTGGATGGAAGAATGCAGGGACGGATCCATGGAGGGATGGATTACGGTGAAGGGGCAGAATTTTTTCTTTAGCCTAAAATAGTAAAGAGTAAAATTCTGTCTAGTTTTTATTTTAAAAATTCATTGGCTTATACCCAAACTTTCCAGTTTCCACCATTTACAATAGAGTTAATTATCAAAATAGGACTAAAAGTCATTCACTTTTCACAAATAGGACCAAAAAATAAACTATGTTTGCATAAGACTAATTATGTGTACCTTGGACAATTATACCCTTATAGCTATTAAAATGTTTTAATTCCTAATAAAATAATAAAAAATAATAAAAATTCGTAAAAAATACCAAAAAATTAAGAAAAACATTTCGATATTAAAAATTTAATTAATTTTTTTTTCAAAAAATTAAAAAAATTAAAAAAAATAAAAAAAAAATAAAAACTCAAAAAAAAAATGCCGCCGCCTCTGCCGCCTCAGCACCACCACCTCCAGTCACCAGGGGAAAAAAATGTCAAGTTCATTACGAATGCCATATTTATGGCAGAAAAAATGAAAATGTTGGAATTCGAAAAGAGAAATATGCCACTTTTTTGGCATTTTCAGAAAAAAATGGCATTTTTCTGGGAAAATGGCATTTTTTTCATCGGCCGGAGGAGGTGGTGGTGGGAGGTAGTACAGGCGGTGGGAAAGGCATCCATATTTTTTTAAAAATTTTTTTTACGGAGTTTTACTATTTTTTATTAATTTTTTTAAAAATAAAATTATTTTTAAAAAAAAAAGTTTTTGAATTTTTTATTTTATAAAAATTTTATAAATTTTTTAATTATATTTCTACGAATTATTGAATTTTTTTCGAATTTATTATGAATTAAACATTTAATTATAGCTTTTGACTATTTTTAATTCATATTTAATGGAAGGGTAAGAATGGAATGCAAAAATAGGTATGTTTCCAATAGGACTCATATGGTCCTATTTTGGAATAAAAACATAGCAAGTCCTATTTTAGGTTTTTGCCATAGTTTTAGTCCTATTTGAACTAATTTTTATTTACAATATAGTCAAAGATTCAATATATTTTGCATTAGAAATATGATACTCCGTACTACATAAATGACTTATTAAATTTTCTATGCTTCTTTATTACTTCATATGTCCCTATTTAAAAGTCTCAATTTTCTTTTGGGATCATCCCTAAAAAAGTCATATTTCCTTATTTGGTATACAAAACGATGCAAAACAATACTACACAGTGTCAAACAGTGTCAAACAATGTCTAAACAGTGCCACTTTCTCCTTAATTACATTAATTGTCTTATTAATACATACAAAAGTACCATTAACTTTTATGATCAATTCCCATAAATGTAAAATCAAATCATCATATATATGCTCTAACAATTGCCTCTTTAGGGAAGTTGAGGCATATGGGTGCACATCTCAAGCCGTTAAACATCAACTTTTCAAAATTTTGAAAAAAAACTTGTTTTTCGCATCCTTGATTATTGTGCATGTTAATTTGTCATCCGTATGATGAAACAAACACGTCAATCCGTCATCCATCTAACGAAACGTGGCTGAGACCTTATCTTCTTTCCTCAAAAATTGTGATAATGACATTCAACTTAAACATGAATGTTTAAAATTAGTGTCAATGTCATTCCTGTCGCTTACTTTTGCTTTGAAGTTTCTCATTGTTTTATGTTATGCTTTTGAAGCATATCTTTTTGAATAGTTTTGGTCAAACCGTTATAGACAATCGATGATGTCTTCACTCATGTTTAGAAGACATGAAAACCCCTTTTTCCCTTATAATTATTTAAGCTTCGACATTTATTTTTCGATGTTCTGTAAGGCTTCATTTGTAGAGATTTGATGGTGTTTTCACTCATGCTTAGAGGACATGAAAATCCCTCTATGCAACACATTGTCATCATCCATTGTTGATAGTGTCTTCGCTTGGACGTCTTTGAAGGATCGACTATGATATTTTGTTAACTCTCGATATAGTTCTGAATCCTCGAACAAACCTCTCATGTACTCCTCAACAGTTATGGAGATATCGCATCTTGGAATTGACACTGATGGAGTATATGGCCCAGGAACCCCCATCCCACATACTTCCACTACCACAGCCAGACCCAACATGCCCAAGCGGCCCAAATACAGCAAACAAGACTCCGGACAGCTCATACTGCAACAAGTTACTGCCTTCGGTCCCATGGCCGAAGGCCACACATTCGGCAAACAGTTACACTTGGGCGACTAATGTCACTGGGAAATTCAGGCTGAGGTTACGTGCACCCCTCGGTATTTACAGCCTTCGGCATATACACAGCCTTCAGCTCATACATAGCCTTCGGTACAAGGGGCCCCTAGGTGCATGTAACCGAGGGCACTCTCCTCGACAGGATCTCCCCTCCACATGCATTGGATTGCTTCATTGAATGCGAACGTCACACCCAAATTAAACCACCGCATTAAATGAGACCACATGCTATGTCGGTGCCACCATGGCTGAATTGACCCTCCATCGTTGGTTGCTTGACACGTGTACCCTCGCTGATTGGACTTAACATTTATGGCTGTTATAAATAGCAGCCATTCTTCCATTGTAATCGACACATTATTCATATATTGAACACACAATCACTCTCTCTTATTTGTTTCTCTGATCTCTCTCTTGATATTCATTATAATATCCCTCAGATAAGCTACCCCCCGGGTACACTATCCATAAGACACCTTTCTTTGGTTGAACCTATGCAAATAGTCTCTAAGGGGTTCACGTCGTCACTGCTTAACTCTATACATGTAGCACCGTCCCCAAGCATATTTACTTTTAGTAAATCATGTAATAAACCTTGAAAGATGATTTATGGATTTACGTAATTGTTAAATTTTATTATTTCTTTTACGTGAATAGTAAATTGCATGTGGGGCCCACAGCGGGAGCGGGGGCCGGCCGATAATTCTTGAACCACATATTATATTCATCTTGGTATAGATAATATGTATATGGTGGTGGATATTTTAGTTGGGCCATTGAAAGGGCATGGAGTTGACCTGTGGGTCAAACGAGGCCCAATTATCGGTATTGGTAATTTATCGGATAACAGCCCGAAATGAATTTCGGAGACTCCCAGATGAATGTTGGGGAATGTACATCTATTCTAAAGGCCCATAATTATTAGAAACGTGTGATATATTTTATCCGACCCGATAAAATAAAATATAATTAAAACAGTCCAAGAAATACAATTTTCGGGGCCGATTGTACACACCGGGACATAATGGGATGACCTCCCACATAAAGGGGGGCCACCCCACGTTTTTAGATGCTCAGATTGACCAAATAATGGGAATGAGGGTGGATGCATGTGAATAATACGAATGTGAGGTGGGAAGTCTCATTGAGACAAAAGCCCATGCCTCCATGTCCTATTTGTCCTCTTTGCTATTGATTGGGAGAAGGTACTCCCCCCTAGCATATGACATTCGGACAGAGCATAGAGAGGGAACTCTAGGGAGGCTCCTCATCAAGACCAAGCTCAAAGAAAGCAAGAAGGAAGGGAAATCCAAGAGGAAAAGCTAGAAGAAGGGGGTAAGAACACAATTTCTACTCTTTTAACTAGTTTTATTGTGTATGATTTTTAAGAAATCATATGGTGGATTAAATCATGAGTTCTACACGTTTAAAAGTGTAGAATATTGATATAAAGTGGTGGTAATTAACTTAGGAGGGTTGGCCAATCGATATGAGTCGAAATCGCTGGAAACCGCCACTCTAAACAAGCTATTCGCAATTGCAGACTACGAAAGCTGCCCGGCTTTCGTGAAAGCCGCCCGGCTTTTGCCCAGCAGTCCAATTTTCCACTTTCAATCGGCCTAGAACGGGGATTGATCGAGGGGCTTAACAAAGGCAACTATTGTAGCACATCACGAGGTGAGGATGGCTGACTATATTGCTTATAATTGTTGGGTTAATTTCGTAAGATTACCTAAGTTATTAAATGTGATTTTCATGGATTATTAATGAATAATAATGCCTAAATGAAAATACTATTGCATGTGAAAAAGTGAAGCATGATATACAAATTTAGAGTAAATTGTGTATGATTATGTGATATGAAAGTGATGGTATGATGATGAGATTAACTATGATAATATTGTGATAAAATATACTTTTACTTCATGTATGAAATTCATGAATGGTTAAAAGTGATATTTTGGATATTTGGGTTAAATTATATTTGGATTGGAAAATCAATTGAGATGAATTAATTGGCTATGAGTTAAGAACTTGGCGGTTCTAAGATTATCCGACTAGTGTTGGAATACTAGTCGAGAGATTTATATAAATAAATGATAGATTTAATCCTAAGAGATAGGATTGTAAATGGGTATGCCTTAAGTAGTCTTAAGAGATACTTTAAGGTTGAATTGTATGAACACTAAGGTGTGGTAGGGGTAGGCCTAAAGGCTACCCAAGTGAATTGATTCTAGGCATAGGATTTGCTTGAGAATTGGACTATGAAAATAAAGTAGAGTTGGACTCTAGGATTGCATGGAAATGTAGTTGGGCCGAGCCCTTGCCATGTATTGTGATTAGCATGGAAACGTAGTTGGGCCGAGCCCTTGCCATGTATATGTGATCTCCGTGGAAACGTAGTTGGGCCGAGCCCTTGCCACGAAGTTATGGTTGGTATGGAAACGTAGTTGGGCCGAGCCCTTGCCATACAATTTTAATGCGTTAAATTGAGTTAGAGGATTTTATAGAAATGTAGTTGGGCCGAGCCCTTGCTATAAAATCAGGGCTCGATGGGACCCTACGGGGTTATCGTGACATGCAGTCACGGAGGAAAGAAAATAATGAATTCTAAATGAATATGGGCCCACGGGCTGACGACTTGACTCTATATAAAGTAAGTACAGTTACAAGAAAAAGGGGTAACCGAGGGTTATGGCCTATAATATAATATCACCCTGAGTTGAGGGTCTTATAAATTGAAACATCAATTATACTTAGTATAGTTGCTATTGTACTTGTCAAATATTTCCAAGTACTGATCTCCCCTTCACGGGGGAGGCCACCTCACAGTTTCAGGTAGAACTTGAAGGT